AACTGGAAAGTCAATTATTGAGGTTTATGATCAATAGTACTTTGTAGGGATATGTAAAGATATTAAGAAGCATCTTGAGGGAGAAGAGGTTTTCTTTATCATTGATAATGCTAAGACTCATTTACCTTTTAGGAGATGGCTAAGAGGGCAGGGAATTGCTCTTATGGAAATTCCAGTCTATTTACCAGATCTCAATCCATTTGAACATGTTTAGACTACGGTGAAAGATAAGCTCCAGAAGCATTATCCTGACCTATATCTCATCAAGGACTCTGACCAGGAGGTCAAAAAAGCTATTGAGGAGGCTATTGCTACTTGTTAGGAACTTCTTAACTCAAAGACTTTTGATTGTCTAGCAGGTTCAATGGTGGATAGAATTGAAGCAATTATTAAGCCAAATAGGTGGTATAATAAATATTGATTTCTACTATATATTTTCATTTTTTCTAACTTATTTTTGTTATTATGATGTTGAGGTTAGTAGAAGGGTAGTTATTATATAATCAATTTATTTTTCTATTCCTTGCAGTTGTTTATTTTTGTTAACAAACAATATAGTAGTAGAGAGTTCCATAGTTAGTATTGCATCTACTCAGGTATGTCAGCACGCCACTAACATGTCCACCATAAGAAGAGTTTTTACTCCTATAGTTGTATTGTACATACAGCAGCTAAAACACTTCTGTCAGGTAAATGTTAGCAAATTATGGAGTAGTCTAGTTTATTACGAAGGAATTTTGGTCCAATCTGTAAAGGTTCACTAGACAGCCCAAGGGAGTTGGGTGCTCGTGAGCACAGAGTAGTAATGGGAAGTAACTGGCAGTATATGAAATCTACTTAAGTTTATGTAAGTTCTCTTCTACTCTAGCAATCAACTATCTCTCGAGATCAGAACTTAATTGAGTAAAGCTGTAGCTTAACGATATTAAGTTTTACCATTTTGTTTCTTCAAACTCTACTGTTGAGACTGTGATTTTTATTATATTTGTTCCTATTCACAGAAGAATTTATATCAGTATGGTTATAACCTCAGGATCTATCTTCCCAGAGGAAGCCCCAGTTACACTAGTAGACAATACTGGTAGTTAAAAACTGATACAGTCGTACTCTGTTCTCTTGGATGGCTAAAATCAGGATTTGACTATCCGGGACAGTGAAATCTCCCAAACATTGAAATGGTTGATAAAAATCATACTTGTAAAAACTGACAAGCAAGTAATAAATGTATTGATATAACTCTCAGCTATTTCACATATGGCTTAAATGAGGGGAAGACTGAAAGGCCAGAAAGGCAAGTAAAGGAAGAAAATTTAGAGAAATTTTCCAATACTGAACTCAAATAAAATGACATTATCGTAAATGATTAGCTCTTAGTCAGCTTATAGCCAGTACCATGCCACTAGTCTGTCTTGTATACAAAAGCAAAAAGTGGAAACGACTACAGAAGCTGGGGTTCAACACCAGTGCAGAAATATGAACTCTGTTGCCTTTGCTAAAAACACCAAAAATTGAAGCTTTTCAGCTTTGCTGCACTTGAGAAATGCTCCCATTGACCATATGGAAGATATATAATAATTTAAAGTTTTTGTAATGATCCCTCTTCCAATAGTTAGCTCTTGGCGATGGGGAATGATATTTCTCTTCTTCTTTCTTCTTCTTGCCTTACCATGCCACTAGGCCTCTGCCTATATTACTGATAGTGCAAGACCTTTGTCTTCTATCGGGAACGCCTATCATAAGCTTTCTTTAACTCTCCTTTTTGAAGTGTATTCTTATTGTAGTAGTAATAAAGATGGTGATAATGATAAAAAGTGTAAATGTGTTTTATATTTGTTAAAGTAATAAGTAGGGAAAGTACTTCAAACAAAGCGTGAAGAACCTATTCTCCTCAGCCATACTGGTCTCCTTATATAGTATTCTTCCCGCTCCAAGTTATGTGACCCAAAGTGGTCACATACATGAAACCAAATCATAAATAACTAATCATATGACTCAAGTAGTTACATGTGTAAAACCCATGACCTCATAGTAAGGTCATATGCAAAAACTCGTACACTAATTATAACATAATAAACAAGTCATATGACCTAAAGTGGTCACATGTATAAAACCCATGACCTCATAATGAGGTCATGTGCAAAACATAAATCATATATGCAAGACATACCCATAAGGCATACTTGCAAGGCACACTCGCCAGGTACACGTCCTTTGACTTATGATCGAGTCATTTGCGAAACATAACAAATCATAATCTAAACAAGTCATATGACCAAAGTGGTTATATGCACAAAACAATAACATACCTATGACTCATAATCATGAGTTATGTGAAAATCTTTTCCATGTTAAACTACATTCATGACAATCTTTCAGATCACTTAGAAAACTGGGAGAAAATTGTTGCTAAAGGTCATCCAACTAGTAAGATTGACTCTATCTCATGTTGTTTTCTTATGTCTACCTTTGTTTTTTCAGGTATTTTCATTTTTTAAAGGCTTTTGTTGTAATAGTTAAGGAGGCAGTAAATAACAGGAAATAATACTTGTTGGTCCCAGTGCCAATAAGCAGAATAATCATCCATCTTGCTTTCCAATTCTCAAGTACCTCTTATCCATCTAGATCGACGCAGCTGAGATTTCTTTAGTATTAGTAACTGATGAAATTATAAATACTCAATTTAAGGTGATAATAATATAACTTATAGAGTGGAAAGTAGATAAGAGTTATGAGCATTTTGATGTTTCCTCTAGATAGCTCTATCAGTTCAAGTCAAGGTTTCAGATAGCAAGATTTGTTCAGCATAGTCATTCAGCAGAGGTTGATCAAAGTGTACTTCCTGGTAACCGTACCACTATAGCTCAGTAGCTTTTTACAGTTTAGTCCTCAAGATATTTATAATACAGATGAGAGTGATTTAGTCTTCAACAAACTGTCCAATTCGTCCAATGTACGGCTTACACCCAACAAGGTTCTGAAGAGTGGAAATAACCAAAAGACCCATATTACAACTTTTCATATTGTCAACCAGGCCGGTACTAATAAGAGAAGACTCTGAATAATAGGAAAAGCTCAGACTCCAAACACCTTTTAATAAAACCATATCAATATTGCCAACCTGCAAGTCATCTACAGGTTCCCCAAATGGGCTTAAATGCTTAGTGGATTATGGTATGAATTTCTTCATTCATTGAACAATGAGATGCATATCCAGCATCATCATATTACTCTTATATCTAACAACTGCCCCTCCCATCCACTACTAGAAAAACTACCAATCGATTATACTGGGCCAACTCCTCTACTTCTCACCAATATTATACTTATTTTTCTTCCACGTTATGAAACAGCATATCTGCAGCTACTAGATATGGGAATAATTAAGGCTTTTAAAGCAGCCTACCAAGGCCAGCATGCAGAATACATGGTACAGAGATTCAATGACTTTAGCAAAACCCCTGAAAAAATCGATATCTTAAAAGCAATTTCTGTTATTGTTACAGCTTGGAATAGTATTAATCAGGAAACTATTCAAAACTGCTTGAAGAAGGCGGATATTACTGGACCTACAATAGTAACAGCTTCAGTTCTATCACTATCATTCCCAACAGAAGCAGACTTTATTTCAGAGTAGCAGTTAGTTTGTTTGAGTTCTTTTCAAACACTACAAGAACTAGGTGAGTCCAACTACCTAAACCCCAATGAGTACTTCAAAGACTACTTTATGGAAAACAATCATACCAAGTCAACTACTGGCAAGCCAGTGACCAGTCCTTACTACCTGTTCACTTCCAGATTCGGCTATTATCATTGAGTAAGAGATTAGAAATGGGCTTCTTGATAGGCCTCCTATTGAGCTTAACGGAATCTTTCTTTCCTCAGAGACTGCCGATAATACTAGTGGAGATGATACCTCCAAGTGCCAAACCTCCACTCCTTCACTACCACCAGTTATCTCTACTTCAACCACTATTCAGTATATTACTAAACTTCACTGTTTTTACCAATCTCTCCCAGTTACCCATCTACCAAATCCTGATCCTAAGATATCTAAACTTGTAGTATCAAAACTTGCTGGTTAGTCAGAAGAAATAAAGAAGTGTCTTATCAAGTTCGATTCCTGCTTATTTAATTTTTCAGTTACTTGTTTGATTTTTAGGTATCAGACAGGTCGGCAATAGGCCTTGCCTTCTTTTGATAGGCCCAGTCAACTACGAGAAGTTTCCTTGGATTTGGAATCCGAGAATGGAGAGGAAATCCTTGGCTGTAAGGACATTGCTGGTTGGGAAGATGATAGTGAGAACTTGGATGAGGAAGAACATTTTACCTGTGTGCCTACATTGTGGACCACAAGTGGCATCAATCATGCCTTTTAGCAGCTATGATGTGAGATTTTAGGGTTAGATTGGGAGGAATCCAGGACACTGAATCTACTTTGTATGTGAACAGGGGTAACAAATATCTAAATTTGCATCTGGTCGGAAAACCCTCAAAATCCGGGACAGTGAAGGGTATTTCTATGTAGCTAGCACAAATCTTGAAAAATTGTCCGTGACAATGAATAATCCGGGAGAGGTCCGGGACAACGGGGTGCGACTGTATTATGCAAACCTCACTTAAGAAAAAGAAAAAGAAAAGGTCCGACGCGTCACACTTGCTTTCCCCGATTATGAGCGACAGCGAAATAGGAGGGGAACCGGCTATTAGTATTAAATAGAGAAAAAATATTACAAGAGATAGCAGAAGTGATCCGGATACTTTGGCGTGAAGTTTACACCCAGCGCCTAAACAGGGAATCCTGACGCCAAGGCATCCGAATACCAGTACTTTATGAATAGGTAGTCAAGTACTGTAATAATTGACCAGTGTGACTACAATATGTCGGTGCCATGTCCAACCTTCAGTTTATCCTACAGCAAGACCCAGTAGCCTGACTGAACCAAGAATGTAGCCCTCAATATTTCACTATAGGGAGTATCGGCATCGTTTTCTTCAGCGTCGAAAACTTTGATTTCCTGGGAACTTACCCGGTATACCGACTAGGTACTATAGAGTGACGGAGGCAAATCACCCCCATCCGCTTGCTCCGCTAGTAGATTTTTTGGTCCGCCCTCCCTTTTTCTGTTCTTCTCTCTCCTTTTTACATTCTCCCCTCCCATACGGCATTCGCTCTCGAACCCTTTTTAATTTTAGCCTTTGCGGTCCCTTCTTCCTGCCTCTGTATGGATTGATTCAGGGCTTTTTCAGGGCCCTCCCGACAGGAGCTAAATCGCGGGAATCCGTGGTCAGTTAGCAGGTGAACCCCAAGCACTGAAAGCAAAGTATCAAATCATGAATAGCAAAATATAGACCCCCCCCCCTCCCGCCACAGGGTAAAAAGTTAAAATGATAGCAGAGAAAATTAAGGTCAGATAGGGAAAAAGAGCAAAGACCACACGTAAATTGATTGAAGGTTTGGGCATTAACAAGTTTCTTCCCCCTTCGACCTCAACCTGTGCGGCTTCCTGCGGTGGTCCCAACAGCGGTAGGAACGCAGAGGTGTATCGTACAATTACACGTGGTGTGTACTCGTAGAGGGGCTCACTCGAAGATCATAAGTATCTCCAGGCACAGGTGACGAAGGAGGGAAAGTGGCTCAAAGGTGGTGCGGAAATTTAATGAGGGGTGAGGGCCGGGAGTTGGGGGGGGTTGGGAAAGTTGAAGTGAGGAGCGGTGAAGGAACAAACGTCAACGCCGAATAAGAGTACTCGAGTAGTTGTGCGGAAGCGCAAGAATCAGCGATCAGACATTAGTGAGACATCGACCAAAGAATAAATATAAACCGCGACACTAATCCCTTCGCTGCCATCATTATAGCGCGGAGTGTTGCTTCCCCTGGTTCCCCAGCGAGATCATAAGACGGCGGTAGCGTGGCGGTAGCGTGTGAAAAAGGTGGAATGGGGACGGTTCAGGTATGATAAATACTCAGCATGAGTGAGGAGAAAGTCACGAACTCCACGCAGGATCGAGACTTTTTGGTGACAATGGTGAAGCCTGTAGCGACCTGATTGCCTCTGCAGGAGGGTGGGCTCTCGCCCGCCGCTTTATGATGGTGGTGGCACACAATTCGACTCTTTTTAGGTCACTTTTTCGATTTTTTTTCTTTTGTTCAGACGCCCACAGTGCCGCATGGTATTGCGTTCCCTGGATGAACTGTTGGTTGGTTGCAGCTGGACAGGTACTGTGCTGGTAGTTGCTTTGCAGTCGCTGGGTTGGCGGCAAGCATACTTGCCATTCGTGCTTTGCGAATACTCGTACAAGTACGAAGATAGCCAGACAAGACACATGTACTATAGGTACCTATACTGTACTGACCTAGACTCCGGTGATGCGAATGCTGTAGTCGAGTGAGCTTCTTCAACTACAACACACCAGTACCGTACGCTTGACCATCCATCCATCGCCGGTGGAAGCAGCCCTCATATTCAGTTTCTCCCTCTCCCCCCCATGCTGCCTGCTCCCACCGGAAGGGGGGACATTGTCACCGTAAGAGACCGGTACTAGCATATTGGAGAGACAAAACCGGAGCCCTCACATCCCGCCCAGATACTTCCTACCAGTATGATACTGTAACTCACTCGCCTGTCCTTTTTAGCCCCATTTTGAATTTTGGTGCGGTTCGACTCTGTTTCTCCTTCTTTATTGAAAACAAAATGCCCGCCTGGGAGCCTACCAGTTTGGTATGGTATCATACATTATCCCCTTGCGCAAATAAAAGTGAGTGCAGTAGAGAAGAGGTCTCTCTTTGATGGGCCCACAGTTCCTCCCCGCCTCTTTCCCCTTGCCTGTCTTGCGATTTATCCTTGTCATTTGGCTGCTCCCCTCGTTTGCCTGCCTGCGCATTTTACCCTCTGGTCGGTCGCTCCCTGATCTACTGGTCTGCGAGTCGGTGTTTTCTCACCTCACTGCTCGCTACTATTCCTTCGGCTCCCCAACACATTCCTGCGTATTGTCGCACTTTCGCAATCGTAGCTCGCTCCCACGCAGAAGCAGCCTTCTCCTCCTTCACGCTCCCCTCCTTCCCCTTATCAGAATCCTTTGCCAATACGCCGCCCGCCCCGTCTGTCTGTTAGCTCTGAAGTCAGTCGTCCAATACCCGTATTCGTTTCCACTCCCCCTCTCCGTTTCCACTCTGCCCGCCTTTCTCATTTCTTTTCCTTCAGATTCTCTCCCACCCACCACCTCTGCCCCCCCATTCCCTCATAACCCTCCTCGGCCGCGCCTCTCTCATCCCATCGCTGTAAAGAAAATCCCTGGAGCCTCAGCAGTAACGGCTTTTGAGGCCAGGGCAACTATCGCCCTTATCCTCACCCCCCTTCACCCCCTCACCCCCTCCTCCATCTACCCCCAGGTAGCAACAGACCTTCGATAACAATCCTCAACTCCTGTCTTCCCCCGTGTTGTGGTTGACCTTGCAACGCTTTTATCCTCACCCCCACCCCCTTCTCTCCTCTGCCACCCCGACACCCTCGGTGGTGAAACCGAGAAATAATTATGCAGAACGACGAGATCTACCAGGCCACTACGGCCGCTTTGAGGGCTCTTGCGAAGGGTGATTTCCAAACCCTTGGAGAGGAACCCAAAATCTATTTACCTGGGCATGACACTTTTGAGAAGCGAACCCTTGAACGAGAGCTACTTTCCCTCACCCACCGAATCCGACATTTAGAGGCAAAGGCCGTTGCTGCCGGTCGGAATTTTCCAGATACACCAAATGAGAATGGTGCTCCATCATCTCCCTTTGGTCTCGGTGCAACAGGCCATCATCCTTCTCCCATCCCTATCAATGGTGCTTTGATGGGCAGCCAAAGGAATGGTGGTAGCCCCGGAAGCGATGCCAGCGATCAGTCCAGTCAACTCGAAGTTCTTCATCAACATGTGAAATCTCAAGAGCAGGAGATTCGAGAAAACCGGAAGATCATGAAGAATTTGATGGAGGAAGCACAGAAAGCCAAACAGGCCCCGCAATTACCAATAGATGAAGCTACTAAAGTAGAGCGGCTCCAGAGGGAGCTCAAAAAATCACAGCAGGCGAATGAGGCTTTCTCGAAAGCATTGCGTGAGATTGGAGAGATTGTAACGGCTGGTACGTTTTCACTCGTCGCTTTGAAATAGATTCTATGCAACTGCCCGGAAACAATCACTAATTTTGGACGATAGTGGCCAAGGGAGATTTGAACAAGAAGGTTACTGTTCATGCTGTAGAGATGGACCCTGAAATCACTACCTTCAAAAATACCATTAACACCATGACGGATCAATTGCAAACATTTGCCAGCGAAGTATCCAGAGTAGCCCGAGAAGTGGGGACCGAAGGGCGGCTCGGTGGACAAGCCAAGATCGCAGGAGTCGAGGGAACTTGGATGGAATTGACCAACAACGGTATTTACACAACATTTACACATTTTGCATTCTTGCATCATCTCTTTTGCCGTTGTCCCAACGTACGGGGTCAATGCAAGACAGGATATCGGGCTATTGGTTGCTGACATGCGGCATGATTAGTTAACGTCATGGCTTCCAATCTCACCAACCAAGTGCGAGAAATTGCGGACGTTACCACGGCTGTAGCCAATGGTGACCTCTCCCGAAAGATCCATGTGCACGCACAAGGGGAGATCCTAGAACTCCAGCAGACTATCAACTCTATGGTTGACCAACTTCGCACCTTCGCATTTGAAGTCACTCGGGTGTCTCGAGAGGTCGGAATCGATGGCATCCTTGGTGGACAGGCTGAAATACGCGAGGTGATTTTCCCTTCTTTATTTACTGCCACAAAACCAACCCTAATAATACGTTTGTGATATTCAGGTCAAAGGAACATGGCGAGAGCTTACAGACAACGTTAATGCTATGGCTGCCAATCTCACGGATCAAGTCAGAAATATAGCTGCTGTTACCACTGCCGTCGCTGAAGGAGATCTAACGAAGAAAGTGAGTGCATTATGCAAGGGAGAAATCCTTCAACTTAAGGAGACCATCAATAAGATGGTTGATCGCCTTCAAAACTTCGCTACTGAGGTCACGAAAGTGGCTCGAGAAGTCGGAACAGAAGGCAAGCTCGGCGGACAGGCTCGTGTTGAGGATGTGGAGGGTACATGGAAGTCTCTTACCGAGAACGTCAACAGCATGGCTCGTAATCTTACCACCCAAGTACGAAGTATCGCCTCCGTTACTACTGCCGTGGCGGAAGGAAACTTGTCGCGTAAGATTGATGTACATGCTCAAGGGGAAATCTTACAGCTTAAAGACACCATCAACAAGATGGTCGAGCGTTTGCAGAACTTTGCCACCGAGGTCACCAAGGTTGCTAGAGAGGTTGGAACTGACGGTATCTTGGGAGGACAAGCCAGGGTATGGATTTCTCCTAGGTTGCCCTAATATGAACCGTTTTGTTGATGACATCCCATCACACAGGTACAAGATGTTGAAGGAACGTGGAAGGATCTTACCGATAATGTCAACATCATGGCCAACAATCTTACGACACAAGTACGAAGTATCGCCGATGTCACCACCGCTGTGGCTCAAGGTGATTTGAGCCGAAAGATCACTGTGCATGCTCAGGGAGAAGTCTTGGCCCTGAAATCAACTATTAATAAGATGGTGGACCGATTGGAAGTCTTCTCGCGAGAGGTCAAGCGGGTGGCGAGGGATGTGGGGATTGATGGTAAATTGGGTGTGCAGGCTGAGGTGAACGATGTCGATGGATTGTGGAAGGAAATCACTAGCAATGTCAATACCATGGCCCAGAATCTTACCACCCAAGTTAGAGCCTTCGGATCTATCACTGCCGCCGCGGCAGATGGGGACTTCAATCGTTTCATCACCGTTGAGGCTTCTGGAGAAATGGATGCTCTCAAAACCAAAATCAACCAGATGGTGTTCAATCTCAGGGATAGCATCCAGAAGAATACCGCTGCTCGCGAAACTGCAGAATTGGCAAACAGGACTAAATCCGAATTTTTGGCTAACATGTCGCACGAAATAAGAACACCAATGAATGGCATCATCGGAATGGTATTGCTAATTTCCCGACGGAAAATACCTATCAAGAAGTAAGCGCTAACATTGATCCAGACACAACTAACTCTTGATACCGATTTAACACAATATCAACGAGAGATGCTGAACATAGTCCATAACCTTGCCAATAGTTTATTAACCATTATTGATGACATCCTCGATATTTCAAAGAGTATATCCTAGAACCCCGCGGCACTATTCATTATCCACTAATATTCTTTAGTTGAGGCAAACCGTATGGTCATGGAAGAGATTCCTTTCTCATTGCGTGGAACAGTTTTCAATGCCTTGAAGACCTTAGCTGTTAAGGCAAATGAAAGGTTCTTGGACCTCGTGTACTGTGTCGATAATGTCGTCCCAGATCACGTTGTAGGCGATTCTTTCCGTTTAAGACAGGTTATCTTGAACCTTGTCGGAAATGCCATCAAGTTCACAGAGAGTGGGGAGGTCAAATTAACCATCCGACAACATGATCAGTCACGGTGCTCGGATAAGGAATATTGCTTCGAATTCTCTGTTTCGGATACAGGTATCGGAATTCAGTCGGACAAGTTGGATTTGATCTTTGATACCTTCTGTCAGGCGGATGGATCAACAACCAGAAAGTTCGGTGGTACCGGGCTCGGACTGTCTATCTCGAAGAAATTAGTCAACCTCATGGGAGGTGATGTTTGGGTCAAGAGTGAATACGGCCAAGGAAGTACCTTTTACTTTACCTGCACAGTCCGGCTCGCTACTACGGACCTCGCCTTGATTGTGCCACAACTCAAGCCTTACAGAGGACATCATGTTCTATTTATTGACAAAAACCGAGAAAATGCCGATATCCCAGAAATGTTGAAAATGCTCGACTTAGTGCCTATTGTGGTTCACACAGCTGAGGAAGCACCCTTGCCAGATCCAATAACCAATGGACGCAAGGGAGTTATGTACGATGTCATACTAGTCGATTCTATGGAGACTGCCTTGAAACTGCGTACATTGGACGAGTTCAAGTACATACCATTAGTCCTTCTATGCCCAATAATCAAGGTCTCCCTGAAATCCACTCTTGATCTGGGTATCACATCTTATATGACTACCCCATGCTTGCCAATCGATCTCGGTAATGGCATGATCCCAGCATTGGAAGGAAGGGCAGCCCCGTCGGTTTCCGAAAATTCACGATCATTCAACTTGCTCCTGGCAGAAGATAACATTGTCAACCAGAAATTAGCTGTCAAGATTCTCGAGAAGTATCATCATACGGTTCAGGTAGTGGAGAATGGCCTCCAAGCCCTAGAAGCAGTCAAAAACAAGCGGTATGACGTTATTCTCATGGACGTTCAGATGCCGGTAATGGTGAGACTTCTACCCTCCATTTGTTTATATGCCCTCGAGAGTTCTAACAGCTCTCTAGGGTGGCTTCGAGGCCACCGCAAAGATCCGAGAATATGAGAAGGATGCCGGGTTGCCACGGACACCTATTGTTGCCTTAACGGCTCATGCTATGCTGGGTGACAGAGAAAAGTGCATCCAAGCGCAGATGGATGAGTACCTATCGAAACCACTAAAGCAGAATACGCTCATTCAGGTTATCCTCAAGGTGATCCTAGAATGTCATCCAGCTTACACACAACAACTAACAGTCATCTAGTGTGCCACCCTTGGGGGGCCGCTTCTTGAAAGAGGGACTGGAATACTGTGTTCGATTCCCGACGATAGCGAGCGAGTCAGCAGAGTTATTAATGGCGCGACAACGCAGCTAAGGCCCAGACCCATGCTTGAGCCGCGGGCCGCAACAGCAAATGCGCCAATTCCAGGTGCAAGCACCTCAAGTGCGCCCCTAGAACACGCAGATTCAGATACCACTGAGCGGGTGAGCCAACATACAATTCTTACTGTTATGGAGGATGAAAGAACCGGGATCTTGGGATGAGTCTATGCAGTACTAATGCCCCTGCGTTTTGACAGTCTTTGTTCCGATCCCTAAGCAGTTAGACGCGTGCCCCGAGGTGCAACCTCTTTTTTGCTCCTTTTCATTTCTCAGTTTCTTGTTACTTTTGGAGTGGAGTTACATGCACGGGGGAAAGGTTTGATGAAGTCCTGTTTGCATTTATCTTGCGAGCGAATGAGCCTTTCCCGTCGCTGCGGGACATCGTCGGTAGGGGTTCTTCATTTTCTGCACTTTAAAATCATGGCATACCTTATTTCTCCCTTTTTTTTTGGTCTACTATGATGGTTACCTATGAGTTTTCCTACTTATCCATTTATTGGAGATGGTGAAAATGGGCGGATGGCATGATTGCCCCCCCTTTTTCGTCCTTTAGCCCTTCCTCCCTCCGCGATATCTAGTCACAGTGGGTTGGAGATGTTGATGACCTATCCGAAGAAAATCCCGGAGGTCAATCCATATATTTTTACTGTTTTAATTATCCTTTTGTTATTTGCTGCTACTTTTAAGGTCTGATTTCGGTTCGGTCCGGTTGCTTCCCTTATTCTATTTTCAATTTCATCTGGGCTAGTACAGGTATTTTTTATTTTATTTTCTATTTTCCCTTCCCCATTACTTTCTCAATATACCTTATTGCTTGCTTACCACCGCTTCATATCCGAATTTGTTCTTATATTCGTTGTTGATTCTTTCTCTTTCCCTTTTTTTTTTTTTTCCTTCGCTATACCATCCATCTGCCCCATCTACCAATTCCTTTATTTTATCTCCTAATTTCAATGAATAGCCATCCTTTTCTTATACTGCACGCGAAAAATATACGGAAGGTTCGTTCCTTCTTTCCCCGTTGGGGTGATTTCTTACGAACGGATGAATGAATGGATAGTCACAAAATGGAGGAACCATATATTACAGTAATAGGCTGCTCCCAGACTCTCTCCTGGGTTTAATGTACCACTTATGATATTTGTTTGACCTGTTCGGTTGGTTTACGCTCCTTGCAATATCGTGTGATGTAATGTTCAATGTGAAGTTTATGTGTTAAGTCACATTCTATTATTATGTTTGGCGCGGCGGTGTAGTGCGGTGTTGGCAGTGGACCTGCCATGGTAGATTACCCAACACGGTGGGTTATTGGGGGTTAGGAGGAGGCTAGGGTTGTCCAGAAGCGAAGTGTGATGGTTTGTATGGTGAAGTATAGGTGTGGAATAGTGAAATCGCTCAATCCTGTGTTGGATGGGTAATGCGACTGGCTATCGAGCATGGTTATTCTACTAAGACCCTGGATCTCCGATTGCTCGTCGTCAGCCCAGCGGATTTTCAACTATGAGAAATGCCAGGACTACAGCAATAGTGGAAAATACAGGTAGATAGCACGGGAGTGCCATCTTGTAAGCAGATGAGAAACTATTCTACGATATCCCTACACACCAATATTAGGCGGATACCACGATCCTGGTATATCTCCAGCGTGTACAGTATCACGGTGATGGTTTGATGATCCATAGCCCGCATGTTTTCTACCTTCTACGCTAGTACTATGGGCCATTTGTGCACTAGATTGTAAAAGTATCTGCGCCATGTCCCCCCATCTGTCTTAAACTTGGCCTCTGTCTTAAACCTGGTCAACAGTTAAGATTGGAGGCATCGAAATATCCAGCAGATAGTATGTTTAAGGGAGCCAAAGCCCAGGTATAAAGCTAGGCTAGTTTCCCAGTAGCAACCGTCGAACCAATTGGCAAACTTTTCAAATACCCCAGGTGCATTAACGCTCCAAAGCCATTGCACATTCCTTTTGAAACTGCGAGCTGGGTGGTGACGGACGGCTGGAATCGGTCCACAAGGGGCAGGACGGACGATAAAGGAGATATTCGCACGTCTCAGGACTCCTCCAGTTCCCACCCCTTCTCTCTGAACCAGCCCGCGAATGCGGTTACGAGTATAGTATTAGGAGATGCCCTCCCCCCTTCTCACCCTACCATCACGACATTCCAGTAACCCCCTCACCCAATGACATCGTGCAAGTAAATGTGTTGCTAGAATTCAAAAACAGTAAGGGGTAAAAGGAGTATTTCAAAGTTTGAGTTGAGCCATCCCTTTATGAGAAATTTCAACTCACTCAGTTCATGCCCTATACTACTAAACCATTTCGTTCCATCCGCCCTCCCATCTTCACGAAGAAAACGAGGAAAAAGAAGTCCCCTTCAGTGTTCGGATATACCATCCGGAAACCTTCTCCCTACTTGCCGAGCGAAACGGGAATCAGTTGTTCTCCCCACCTTGTTCCCGGGTGAGCTCGTCGCTGCAGAGGAATTATCGTTAGTCCGTTTGCTTTTCCGAGATTTGATATCGGGGGAGACACACATGTGAGCATCTAGTTCGTCTAGGTGCTTACGCTGGTTTGCGAGCTTTTCCTTTAATTGCAACTATTATCTTTTCGTTAGTGTGCTCACATTCGAATGGAAGAGGGAATAGAGGGAAGGGTGAGGGGAAGTTTACAAGTTTAGCCCTCTCTTGTGCGCGGACGTAAAGGTCCTCGTTTGCCTTCTCTCGCTTGGTGAAAGCATCACTATCGTAGACGTAGATGTTAGCTACTTATTCCCCAGCAGGGCGTATCAAAGGTAGAAAAATGGATAACAAACCCAGCGGCTTCACCGCCCGGACGGGCAGTTCCGCTACCGGTCGCTCCCTCGGTGTATGGTCGGAGCATAGCGATGCGGTTAACACGAAGGACACGGGCAATGGTTGTGCGGAGCATATCCATTTGTCGGTACGGCTTCTCTCTTTTTTTTGTTTTTTTGTTTGTGTTCCTGTTTTGAGATGAGATGTTTTGGCGGATGATTCTACAGTTGGTGGTGGGTTGTGGAAGGGTAGTAGGAGGTGAGGTGGGTGGTGACGACAGTGGGTGGCTTCCCCCCTAAAACCAACCAACCAACTATCACACACCCCTCCCCCACCATGGCTGCAACATCGGGTTGAGTTTTGTATGAAACCATGAATTAAGAGTGGATAAGTTATGCTATTAAAGGCATTTGAAAAATAGCCTTTTAGAATAAGGATTGATGAATGATTGTTTCTACTACTCCCCCTCCGATGGGGGGATTGGTGCTTGTTTGTAATGCACGAGACTTTGAAGCGAGGGCTTAGGGCTTGAAAATGGACTGTTTGAAGGTGCCTTTTCCTTGGTCCCCCGGGAAAACATCATTTTCGGAGGCCCGAAGGAGGCTTTCGTTTCGCAGAAATTTAGACCCATATCTTATTAAAATTTCATTCCTACAAGTGCATGACACAGTAATGCAATCCAGGTTTTAATAGTATTGTAGAATCGATGATGGTTGTGATTGATGGATGCAGTGATTTGTGCTGTGCGCATGGCGCTGGTGTTACTCATGCAGTGAGGAGGGCATCTGAAAATATTGGATACCCCTAATTAATACAAGGCGGTGGACTTTGAAAGTAAGGAATTTCTATTCACTTTTCTCGTTGATGGAAATTTAGATAGATAGAGTGTGAGGATCATTCTAGTCTCAATGAAATGCGGACCCGGTAATAGAGGGTTGGTCTGGATGTTCACCGGTATTTGGTTGTTGATCCCGAACTCTGGGCTCATACAAGCCTACGAGGTTCTGCCTATTGTCGGTGAAATTTGCAATAGGGTTGGTAGTGCGATAGGGTTCTTTGGCTACTCTACCGGTACCGGTAGTTGATTGCTGTCTGTTACTGAGGTGGCCCACGGCCTCCCTATTTCTACTTGTAACATAGCAAGTAGAAGCACGAGGTTACATGTAGACATGGTGCCGGTGGTTGTATCTGTCGGGCCAGGCCCTTTTTCATCTCACCCCTCAGTAACTGTGACAGACTCCCGGACAGGCAAAGAAGCAGACGTAAAGCGCACATAATTTCACAGAAAATCTGCTTGTTCCTAATTAGGCAGTGATCGTCGGGCCTTGGCTGTTGTGTCCCCTTTCTCTCTGCCGCGCCCTCTGCCCACACAACCCGCTTGCACGACTTGACCTGGCCCTCTTTCTTTCCCCTTCCGCTTCGCCATCATTTGAAAGTCCTCCATCCTAACCGCTTCACACTCCTCCTTCTCTCTCAAACTTCTTCCCCATCAACTACATCACACACTTGCCCTTCTAATTCTGAGTTTCTCTATCACCGTCTATCTAACAACCTTATCAATACACTTTTCGACTGCAAAGGTAACTACTATTTTCCCTAATATTTACCCCTCCTCATTGCCTATCCTTTTTTTTTTTTCTCTTTCGATTCGAGAGAAACGAGTTGCAACTGCCTGCTTCAAGGTATCCCACAAGCAGCTTAGAGAGTGGCCCATATTTTTCGAGAGCTTGTCATCGGCCCACTCTTCTGCTACCACTATGCTGTTATCGGGTCAGGAGGGTGGAGAGCGGGGTTGTTCTGCCCTGCATTGCCATCAGCATCACCTTAGCCTCAACTGCCACCACTATCCTTCTCCGAGTTTTTGTATCTTTCTTATGATGCTGTTTATTCTCTTGTATTCTTGATATTCTCTCTCTCTGGTTGGTTCTTTTCAGGTTCGTGATGGGTGAAGTTAGGAAAACTCTTTGCCAACTACCCCAGCAACGAGGTTTGTTTTGAAGAACATTCGTTGAAGCGGGGCAACCCAACATTTCGTCATCCCTTTCTTTTCATTCTCCCTCTCAACCATAGAAACTCATTCCAATAACATTTTCGCTAACAACATCACAAAAAAACTCGTGCAGTTTCACTAAAAAAATCAGTCAAAATGGGATACGAAGATTCTGTCTACCTTGCCAAGCTCGCCGAGCAGGCTGAACGTTATGAAGGTAGCTATTCATCGCAGGCTTAAGGTTTTGGAGATTGTTGCGCTAAGCCCGCTGCAGAGATGGTTGAGAATATGAAGAACGTCGCATCTGCCGATCAAGAGCTTACTGTCGAGGAGAGAAATCTACTTTCTGTTGCGTATAAGAATGTCATCGGAGCCCGCAGAGCCTCTTGGAGAATCGTGACCTCTATCGAGCAGAAGGAGGAGTCGAAAGGCAACGAGTCTCAAGTTGCCCTCATCAAGGAATACCGTCAGAAGATTGAAGCCGAGCTTGCAAAGATTTGCGAAGATATCTTAGAAGTCCTTGATAAACATTTGATCCCCTCTGCTCAATCAGGAGAGTCGAAGGTCTTCTACCACAAGATGTAAGCTCGGACTCTACTTTTATTACATGCACTGCCCAGATATCTCTCCCCTTTTTGTAGGCCCGCTTACTGACCTATGTACAGGAAGGGTGATTATCACCGCTACTTGGCCGAGTTCGCTCTTGGTGACAAGCGTAAGGAGTCCTCCGACAAGTCTTTGGAGGCCTACAAGAATGCTACCGAGGTTGCACAGACCGACCTTGCTCCTACTCACCCCATTCGCCTTGGGCTGGCCCTCAACTTCTCCGTTTTCTATTATGAAATTCTTAATTCTCCCGACCAAGCGTGCCATCTTGCCAAACAGGCCTTTGACGATGCAATTGCCGGTGAGTACCTAGAAATCTAAAGATTAATTATGTTTAAAATCTTGGCGCTAATTACTCAACTAGAGCTCGACACCCTAAGTGAGGAGAGCTATAAGGATTCTACCCTCATCATGCAGCTTTTGCGAGACAACTTGGTTAGTTTCCCACATACTATTACTTGATCGCCCTGTTAATAAGCTTCATAGACCCTCTGGACTTCGTCCGAGGCAGAAAACGACACTGCTGCCGACACTAACAAGGAAATGTCTGATGCTCCGGCCGCAACACCCGTCACCGAGGCTAAACCTGAGACCAAAGAATAAATTCTCTTGGGGACGTGGCACGGCGGAGGGAAAATGAGGGGGGAACTGCAACCAAAAGGCATGGGTCATACAATGTGTTGGGGATAACTACGTTCTGGTTTCACTATGCTAGGCGTTGACGCAAACTTTTCTCTTCTATCTGTTGGCCCAGACGTTCGGTCTGTGTTTCTTTTTTCTCAAAGTTTCGTTCAATTCAACTTGTTGTCTTTTAAAACTTTAAAGTCTGGTTCTGTGTTCTCTTGGCCTTACCCTATGTTATTTTCTTGTTCCTCGGTTAGTGCTAGGTGCGGTTTTCACAGCCTTTTACTGTGGTGTTTTAGCATGGTCTGGTTGTTCGATGAGAATTTTTACTTGTGCTGTAGAATTTGATACAGATTCTTCGAAATCATCATTATTTAACTTAACACCAACAATTAGCGGTGGATGCAGGGCGATAGCGGACAGGATTATAGCACAAGCCCATATTACCAGGATATCTACAGGCTCTGGGTTTGGATCAAGTCTAGAGTAAGTCAGGGAAGGATCGTAGATTGAATTTCGAAAGTGAGATGGAAGTGTCGGATGGGATGAGAACCCTGGAGGGTGCAAAGGGATAAAGTGCATGGCCAGTCAAACTTCCCGCTGCACCCGACGTTTTGGAAAAATAGCTTCCATGGTGCATACTGTAGGGAATTAATAAGTCAAAACGATGAATTTTTTTTAGATCTAGTATCCGTGTTAGGAAATGTTAGGAAATACCACTAGCGAGAACTAAAGGCACCGGAGATATGAGACCACTGTGATGGTCGATACTATGTACATGCGTAAAGTTTTGTGTTTGTGGGATAGATGACGTACATACCTAAGCACAAGACTGATCTGCCTGCGGGGACAGAACTTAGCAACTGAATTATCCTTTCTGTCTAGTCTTACACATTTTTCTTTTCCTTTCTTTATCTCGTTTAGTCACTCAAAAAACAAGGACTGCATTCTCATCCTAGCGAGTCTCATAGTAACCGAATAAATCTTGACAATCCGGCAATCCCCGCATGAGCAAAGGTATTTCTGGTGGCGGACGGTCCGCGGGCTTATTGTGGGGAAGGAAGGAGCGGTGGAAAACCAAGTACCTGGTACTCATTACCGGCACGAGTGCCACCGGATTGAAGCACATTTTTTTATTTTATTTAGTGGCCACCCACCGGGGGTGGCGCGACTCCGATTCTGTGATACGAGTATGATAAGTTGTTCTAGGAGGCAGTTTGATGGAAGGACTTCTTTGCGTTTGTCCTTGGTCTAATTGGTGAGTTGGGTCAATGTGAAACGCGATACTAATACGAGTGATAAACCATGCTTCCGGTGTAGGTTTGTATCGTGCGATATCATACGACAGGCATACTCGGCGTTTTTTTAAAAAATCTCTGGAACGCAAATTCCGTGTTGACGGCGTTACAGTAGTTCCTTCACCTAGCGCCGTGAAGCTGCCGATTCCGTCCTGGAGGCTTTGCAGAATGTCGAGTGAATATATGGGCAGGTTTCGATTTAGTGAGGGAAGGCCTGAGAATGTTGCGGACATGTTAATTACTATAAATTTCCTGGCATAGGCAGTTAATAGGCAATTGCCAAGTGATTAACCTGTATAGGGACCTTGCTTGGCACATTAACATAATATTACTAAGCCTCGATGGACGTCAGCATGCGACGGCCACAGAGGGATTCTGCCAGAGGTTCAACCCAGTATCTCCATGAAAACTTGAGATATTTTTATTTTCTCCGAATTAATGTGTGGAGGGTCATGTACTTGATCATCTAATAGAGCCATAGTCCTCATGTTGCAAATCCCTTGGGGATTGAAGTTGGGCTATATTTTCTTGGCAAAGAACTCCTGCGACGGGTACGGACATCCCTCATAATGCTTGTATCATACGGTACAGGTGTCGGCGGCCTATGGGGAGTAATGTTCATCATATTTGGAACTCATCCATAACAGGTACCTCTGCCCATGATTCGGGTCTCGCACTGCTCGTAAGAGTGCATGTATGATACTGTGGCATAGCAACTCGCGGTGCCGGCATAGTACTAGTACGGTAACTCAATCGGATACACCGCAACCACACCACCACTGCACCGAAATCGAAGAGAAGAAAGAAGGAATGCTCTCACGGTTCGCTTACCGGTAGAACAAAAAGGGAAAAAAGAAAAGAAAAGAAAAAAAACTACACTTGCTTTTTCTCACACAATACTTTACCTATCATTGCTTAACGAGACAAGTTCGGGATGTCAGAATTCCACGGGCTCCCAACGATCCGGCGATGCGAAAGCAAAAAAGGTTGATGCCGAGTTGGGGAAAAAGACAAGGCATTCTGGTACTGTAGTAAGTTGACTTAAGCTCGACTGAAGGTGCCAACGCACATCGCGAGCTGTCTTCGATATTCAATTGCCGGTACCGAGCCTTGGCGTTGTATTTAGATGGGATGGAGAGGGGAAACGCCAGCCGCGGGGGTTGGATTGGCAGCCGCAGCGATGGGAATGGGTGAATTGCCGTGCTATTGGGGGGCGACCTGGGTATCGTGCTGTCATCGATTGGGGAGGTTCGAAGTTCTCGATACGCCAACAATGTACGAGTACAGGTACTGTACCGTACGGTACTAGTACAGTACTCGTACAGCTGTGTTCTTCAACCCCGAAAATCGGTTTTCAGGTTGCCGGCCAAGGTATATCTTTCCGGTTACAGCAAGCACTAGCTTGAGGAAACGGACACTGAAAGCCCTTCTTTCTGTGATGGGCGTGCACCATATACCGGCTGTTGCACGCACCGAGAACTTCGAACCTCCCTATCGTGTATTATCGAGGGTTAATCTTTGACTGATAAGGTACCTTGGCCTGCGCCGTATCGTGGAAGTAGTGCTTGTGCGAGTGTTCCAACCTTTGTGTGCCGTTCGGGTTTGGCACGATAGGGGGGAGGAAGAAAAACCACCGAGTGGGATACTGCAGCGGATCAAGATTCGATGGAATCGAATCAACAGGCTGACATGCTCTCTTCTGCAGCGCTTCTAGGAATCCTTGGCGGTAAGTTCATGGTCGCATTCGGGGAAATGCGGATTGGCTTGGTCCCCGTAGTGTAGCGTTACCGTGGCATTACCGATACAGACTCAAGATGTGACATAATTTATAATCCCAAAGCGTGGTATCGTAAGGTGACTTATTACTTTGCGGAACCCCCGCCGTGAGGAGGAAGTGTGGGGGGGGAAGGGATAGTCACGCGCTACCTCGTTTGATGTCTCTCTGGTCATACGGAAAGGGCCGAGTATCATTCACTTACCGGTATTCATTCAGTAGGCACTACTTTTGTGCACCGTCGAAGGGGTTTGAGATTTGCAACTTGGAGGGAGGGAGGGAAGGGTGGTTTACGGTATTATGGCTGGAATGGAACCGGCGCTAGGGGTTCTAGGGTCCTGTGTGGTTTGGGTTGTTCCCCAGATCGAGCATTTAGTGGGTTAGATCTGATATGATATATGACCTAACGTAACGGTAGGTGAGTTTTGTTTTTTTCCCCTCTCAGTTCTTTCTTGGATTCTGTGGCTTTGGGATGACTTATGAGTGCTTAATATCATGAAATTATCCTAGTTAAACCTATCTGGCATACGGTACGGTACACTACAGTAGCAAAACTACTGACTGCGGGTGGGGAGCAGGGAGGGTTGACAGGTTTCTTACGGTGCACGGTACTTTTACGGCATACCGGTATTGTGTGGGGATGGATAAGTATCAACTGTGTTTAAGGGTTGTTCAACACAGTTATCCTACCTAATACAGGACCTAAGCAAGTACTTTTATTCTGCCCTACTTCGTACACATTTCTACGTTTTTTTCTCCTGATTTGGCCCAGTATCGGGTATGATATTATACAGTGTTGCACACCCCACAGATTTGGTTGACGCTTGTCGCTTCTCGCACCATAATATTATTGAGGATTTTTGCGGGGGATGTTTTTTTTTTCTCTTTTTCGGCGCCTTGGACGAGAATTTTCTGGATTGGGTTGTCTTGGCTTGGCTTTGTTGGGCTGATATTATGATATAAGTAGATATGTGAAAAATGACGGCATAGGACAGATGTTTTCGTAAAGGACAGGTTAATTCCTTAAATTTGGCAACTAAACAGGGATTATTTTGCGGGTTAACCTAAATTAACTTGTGAAAAATTTAGCCCTAGCACTTGTACGGCTTTTTCTCTGATCTTTGTGGGCCCACTCTTTTTTTTTCTTGAGTATTTTTCTCTTTGATTTGATAGGCGGTAGATTTTCTTCGGACGACTTGGTTGAGTATTCTTTCGTCAAGTGAGGCTCGAATGGAGGTGGTTATAAGGGTGTTTGAGAATTCATGACTGCAGTTGGAGGCTTGCATGCCGTTAAGATTCGGTTTAGTCACGTTGTTGCAATTTTCCCGGCAAGATCTGGTCTTGGAGGCGACTTTTGATTGCACTGCGACTTGGAGACGACAGCTGGGGTGTGTGACCAGAGAAAATGCCTGAGGTCTGGATGTTCTACAGGTACGAGCACTTTACTGAGCGTTACCAGTGGAGGGTCTCACCATCGCCATCTGTCTGGTTATGCCGTTAAAGGGGGGGCGTTGGACGGCATTGGCCAAGCTTCGTTGACCTCATGGGCGGTCAGTCTGCGTTTCTGGAGAGCTGGATCGGAAACATTGGTGCTCGCGGTTCCATCTTTTATATCAATGTCTTTTTGGGTTTGCTGGGGCGGTGAAGTGGAGCGGGAAGAAAAAAGGGTTTGAGGATCCAACTGGCCTCTTTCGATGGGGGGGTTTTGTGGATTGTCGGCTTGCCTCTCGGTTGGTGCAGCCAGAATGGAAGAGATCACACTTGGGCCCTGCGTCTGTGGCGTACAGTACAAAGACAGAATTGGTGGTATAATCTTTTTTCTCCCATCATTTTTTTTTTTTGCCATGTTCGCCGTAAAGTGGATCACCTTCGGCCCACCTTGGAGTCCCAGTTGGATTTGACGCAAGCTAAGACAGACGGAGAGACAGACAGACTGACAGACTGACAGATATGCGCAACAAGTTGCTCTCGCTTATTGCTCACCCTCTTGGTGGAATTATGAAATACTTTGTATCGTGGAGTTCGCATGACGTTGGATGCCATGCATTCCAATCAGCGATTGTCTCTTCCTACTGATTGCCTAAACTGGGGGGGAAGTGAATTTTTCCTTCTCCAGCTGGTCCATACAAAGTTGGGCGAACTGAATTGATCAATTGATTTGCTCCCTTAATCTGTCCAGTAAATTTCCTCAATTCCTCACAGTCTAGTTGAGTCCTCCAGTGCCTTTTTTGTCTGTCCTTTTCACCTCTGCCGTCGTCGTGACGGCCATCGCCCCTCAGGCCGCCCACCAATCATACTTTGGCTCTTTCTCACGAACAACGAGCGAAACGTTTTTTTCCCACCCTTTCTCTTTTATTTTCCCGTCCTCCTCCTTCTGTTATCCTACTGCCGGTACTCTTGATTCTTATTTTCGGGATAACTTTGGGCGGAATTGACTTTTTACATCTGGCTTTGGCTCCGAACCAGGTCTATCTTTCGAGAAAGAAAAGAGGCTCCAGAAGAATTTTAGTCAAATCTTAAAAAGCCCACCCACCACTCACTGAACTATACGCCACCCTATCCTATTCTATTCCACGCCAGTCCAAGCCGAGCGTAGTCCGTCCCATCGCCCCGCTACCCTCGATTCTTATTCTACTTCTTGTGACCATCACCCCCTCCTTCCTCCCTCCCTTCCCTTTACTTGCTCCACCCTTGTGTTTTCTTCTGCGTCCTTTCTTACTTCATTGAGTCGGATTCTTGCAGGGTGCGGTTGAGGAAGGAAGCGTGCGTGAAGTTGTGTGTTGAGAGTGTGAGTCTGAAGCTGTGCGCATGAATGTGTGAAACGACATTGTCGTGTGAGAGGAAGTGCTGAGTAGGGTTGGGAAGGTAGAGAGAACGAGATCTTCAATCAGAGGTGTGTATTTTTTTTGTCCTCCATCTTCTACTGTTTATTTACCTCCTTATTCATTCATTCCTCCTTTTGTGGCTACCCACACGGGTTTATGCTCGGGATAAGACAAACCTGGACCTAACATTAAATTATCGGGAAGGAAATCGCCAGTATTTCAGATATTCGAATATTCGTCATGTCTTCGTTGTCTCGCAGAGCCTGTTACAAGTCTGTTACCTTCCTTTCCTCCCTGGCGTGTCTTCGTATACCACCAGGATTGCCCAATTTCTGACATTCTTCGCTTTCCCCCCCTCTCAGATGTGGATCCATCGGCCACTTTGCTGAGGTTTGTTCATCGCCTGAGCGCCTTTGTTACAATTGTAAGAGATCGCCTTGCTTTTTCCATTTCATCTGGGGGAGAATGAGGGGGAGGGGTTCTTTCAGAATTTTGGAATTCTCCGGACATAGATATCCATCTAAGATAGGGCTGGTGTGGGGATGCTGACGTGTTTTTGTGGGTACAGGCAAGCAACCGGGTAAGCACCATCTGGGTCGCCGTTATTTTCTAATTGATTTCCCTCTACCTTGACAGACGGTCATACTCAACTGCAGATATATGTTGAATTAGGACACGAATCCAATGGATGCCCGAACCCGAGAACTACCGAAACTAAGCAGTGCTACCATTGCCAGGGCCTTGGACATGTTCAGGCCGACTGCCCGACGTTGAGACTCTCTGGAGGTAGCGCTGCTGGAGGTCGTTGCTACTCCTGCGGAAACCCGGGACATTTGGTAAGTGATAATTTGAGCGTCTTTGTTCGGCGAGAATCCTAACAAGGGTGCTTCCAAAGGCACGGGCTTGCCCTCACCATCTTGCTGTTGGAAGAGGAGCTGGTGGATACCCTCGCGTGTATGTTGCCGGATTTCCGGGCCGGGGTGGATTCGCCGGGAACCCACGCCCTGCAACATGCTATAAATGCGGAGGTATGCTTGTTTTTATCTAGAAAGGTCAGATACCATTTGATACTGATTGTTGGGTTATTGGAGGCCCGAACCATTATGCTCGCGATTGCCAGGCGCAGGCTATGAAGTGTTATGCATGCGGGAAGCTAGGCCATATCAGTAGGGATTGCCAGGCTCCTAATGGGGGACCCTTGAGCACTGCTGGGAAGACATGCTACAGATGTGGTGAAGCTGGTGAGTGCACTATCTATGAAAATCGGTTACTTTTATGTCCTAATGCTCCCAAGGTCATATCTCTCGTGATTGCCCGCAAGCCGCGGAGCAGGCAGACCAGCAACCTGTTGTTAACAACGTTGTCACTGCATAGGCTGGGCGGAGCCTACCAGTGTCGGTTTTTAGTGCGTAATGACTGAAATGTTCCTCAGGATATGTTTCACCAATCTAATCTACGATCCGATTGCGGAAACAGGTTTTTTCCCTTGACTTTAATTCAGTGAGGCATTTTGTTTTTATTGTTATTCCTTCTATATCGGTTTCTTTTCGACCTATTTATTTAACATTCGCTGTGAATTGTTTTTCCAACTTCATTTTTTCTCAATTTTTTATTCGGGCTTTGCTATGCATTCCCCTTTTTTAACCACAATTTCGTGGAAAGACAAAAAATCCGCAGCTCAGAACTGTATGTAACGGAGAAGTGCCGGGGAGGTAAAACTCAGGGGAGTAGGGCCAGATGGGAAGTTCGGACCGGAGCTCCAGTGAACGGACGGTTATCATTTGGGCATTCGAAGATACGTGGGAAATCGTGTGGTTCCTGTATGTTGAGAACACGATTTGAATACGAGAAAGATGAAGCAAGCAGTCAAAAGGATTCGTTGTTTTCTTGTGATATGCTATATTGTTGGTGACTGAAAACGTCAAGTAAAGTTGGAATTGATATGCGTACTATGCTGCCCGAGTAACGGCATTTGCCAAGACCTCTTGTCGTTCCATTGGAACAGCTGACCCAGCATTCCTCTATTCCCTGCCTTTGGCCTATGCAGTGTAACAGTAAGAGTTGCTCCTTCCTGCTCAATCCGCTTTGTCTCACATTTTCCTTCATTGTTTGTCGTTTTCACTTTGCATTTCACACATCATCCTAATTGACATCTACTTAGAACTAAGATGCCGATCGAAGAGGATTTTGGGGACGATGTTTGTGCTCTTCCATCTTTGAAAGGGACTATATGGGGAAGCTTTTAGCTGATTGGCATAGGATATCTTTGAGATTCTTGACATTGATCAGTTGCAGAATCATGGTACGGTCGATTCTGCGGTCGTCCATAGGCGGTGAGCTGATGTGGGTAGGGATTGGTGCAAGTGATATTTCGAAATTGAAGGCTTCGGGTTATTGGACCATTTCTGTATGCTTTGTATTTGTTTGGCAGTCTCGGGGGCTTCTAATAGTGGTTTAGTCTGTTTGTGCGGCTACTAGGAGGAATCTATCCAGGATCAAAGGTTTGAGATGACTCCCCAAGTGGCTCAGGTCAAGGGATGCTAAATGTACAGGTTTTTCTGAGCAGAAAACCGAGAAAGTCAAGGAGGCGGCGGGGAAATGCGCTGTAGAAATCTCACGCCCGTGATCGATCTATCCCAAGTGTTCACCAGACTGACCAGCACAGCCCCCGTCCTACAATTTCATAACAGCTGCCGAACTGGGACATATCCGCCGTAAAGTCTGCCGCATCTCAACCGGCAGCAAGTCCTTCGATGCAATGTTGGGCGGCGGCATTCAAACAATGTCTATAACAGAAGTATTTGGGGAGTTCCGCACCGGAAAGTCCCAGCTCTCTATGACTGTGTCTGTTATTTGCCAGTTGCCAAGGGATCATGGAGGGGCAGAGGGGAAAGTGGCATATATTGACACTGAGGGAACATTTAGGCCGGAAAGGATTAAGCAAATTTCTGATAGATTTGGGGTTGATGGAGATGCGGCGTGCGAAAATATCATCTATGGGAGGGCGCTGAACTCCGAGCATCAATTGGAGCTCTTAAACGGGCTTTGCCAGAATTTTGCATCAGGGGAGTTTAGGCTACTGGTTTGTTTGCTTTTTTGATCCTTGTATATTTGATCGCATTGAAAATAACTAATAGTTAGAAAAGATTGTCGATAGTATCATGGCCTGCTTCAGGGTTGATTATTGTGGGAGAGGGGAACTGTCTGAGTAAGTTTGCCCCGTAGATTGTAAGGTGGTTTGACTGATGGGTTTAGGCGGCAACAAAAACTTGGCCAAATGCTTTCGAAGCTGTCCCATATGGCGGAAGGTTTATAAAACCCCCCCTGAGCTTGAGATAATATACTCACACGAGCAGAATTCAATGTCGCTGTTCTGATGGTGAAAATTTTACTATGGGAGGGTTGCAGTATGTCTCTTGGAACACTAATGGTGGCACAGACAAATCAAGTCCAGAGCGATCCTGGGGCAAGTGCTCTGTTCGCTGGAGCTGACGGGTAAGTGAATATCTGCATACCTTATACTCCCAATTAATCGAACCGTGTGCTGTGTCCTTGGGATTTCCTCCTCCGGTAAGGTCGGGTGGTTTTTTTTTTGTCTCTCCGAGGGACTGAATGGCTCTTTTGTTTTGTCATGTTTTTCACCCCCTTTCCAAAGTTGGGAATTACCGACTGCATAGCACACGGTTCTATTATTTGAGATTATACGGTACAGGATTTCTGTTCTTCTCGAGATAGAGGACTGACTGGTGATTGGTTGGCAGGCGTAAACCCGGTTTGTGATCATTGATACTCCTAATAACGGTTATGGGGACTTGGAAAGGAGCTAATCTAGAGAACTTGGGAGCACAACAGTTGGCGGGTAAATATATTTGATTTTATACTCTACAAATTACATTGTCTAACCTTACTAGCCATGTTCTTGCTCATGCCTCTGCAACGAGGATTCTCTTGGTCTGGACTTTGCTATTCTACGTCCGCATTTACTTACTTTTGGACAGCGCAAAGGCCGGGGCGAAGAACGTGTCGCTAAACTCCAGGACAGTCCTGACTGCCCAGAACGCGAAGCTACTTACATAATTACCAACGGGTTTGTACCTTTTGGCCGCATGCATGGTTAGATGGTTACTAACCCTACCACCATGCATAAGGGGAATATCCGATCCGGAAGGTACCAAGTGATGCCATTTTGGCTTACTGATCAAGCGGTAGAAAGGAGGACCCGATATTGGAAAAGGGTTTGCTTAATTGTCCTTCTTGGGAATTAATATTAGGTACCGGGGGTTTGGATGAGATACAGTGACAATCGTTATTTTCTATTTGCTACTGTTGATGCAGGATGACTGCATGTTGGTTTTGTTGCACTTTCAGGCCAATATTTCACTTTAATATAATTATGGGCAATCTTGCACGGATTTGCATGATCATTACTGCATTGGGCATTGTGATTTCGTCAACGGACAAAAGTCCACCTTATCCAAATTCTTATCTGGAGGTATGTGCTTCCTCGTGAGGCGGCGCTTTCTTATGGTGACGATAGCGGGGACAATGATTCGTGTTCCGCTCTCAGAAATGAAATTGTTCTTGTCTTGTGCCAAATTCTGGCCTCGAATTGTGGTTTCTATTATCTAGCCGCGCTTATAAATGGCTCAATCTACAGTATTTGCTAGGGATGGAATAAGTATTTCTTTCGTTTAACCCGGAATCGCACTTCCTCGTAAAAGGAAAAGTTGGAGAGGGTGTCGCATGGTACTTGCATAGTACGAGTATGAGTGAAATAGCTTAAAATCAATTTCGGGAGCAACCGATGAAGAGCTTTCAAGCTTGTAGTATTAAAAATGAGGATTGGAAATATTTTTGATCTAGGATTTGGTAAAGACAAATAGATAACTAGAATTGTCAAAGAAAACAAGGGCTAGAGCTTATGAATACAAATTAGAAGGTTGATTTATGCAAGTGATTAAAAATAGATACTAATAAACTTTTAAATCGTATCATACTGATTTTGAAACAATGGCTAGGATGAAATATAATTTGAATCAGATTCATACAAGTGGCTGCTCGTCCCAGGCAGGAAGTATCCAAAAATACGAGTGGTGACTTTGTATTCCGCACAGATGTTTTAACATATGTTTTAAGAAACCCTGTTTCCGGATGCTTCTTGCCTGGGGCCTATACCCCAGTGTTTATCTACCATGTGAGGCAGAAAGGGAATTAGCGAACATAAGAGTTCAACAAACACAGGAGAGATGTGGTACAGAGAATTGGGCTTGGCTGATACTAAATGACAAAATATTTATCGAGTAATGTAAAAAAATGTAGATGTCACTAAATCTTAAGTACTTGTATGCTTAGGCTGTCTTATAGTTAAAGTTCCAATATTATCATATTAAGGTCTTTTGTTATCCTCTATCTTTATGCTCTCTCCAGCTTCTGAGCCGGAATCTGAAAATGTTACAGCTATTAGTATTATAGTTCAAATAATAATATTATAAAAATTTTCTGTTTAGACCTATTATCTCTGGAAACTAAGATATTATTCCTAAATTAGCTCTTCTGCAAGCTGCCAAGCCTGATGTATTCCTGTACTAGCTAGTTTTCCCAGCATTTTTGCTTTTATACTATGAACTGTCATGTTTAACATTGTCCGGGGACAAAATTAACTAGCTGTCAATGGCCGGAAAATCTTCGGTGATGACAACCACACTCCCCCACCAACCCACTATCATGAAAACCCAAAAGAAAATTAAAAAATATAAATACATAGTAGAAATTAATATTTAGTATACCATCCATCAGCCTTAATAATTGCTTCTACCCTATCTACCATTGATCCTGCCAAAGTATCAAAAACCTTTAGGTCCAGAAGTTCCCAACAATGAGTGATAGCTTCCTCTATAATTTTTTTAATCTCATTGACAGGGCCCTTCAGGAGAAACAGCTCAGCATAGTGCTTATGAAGCTTGTCTTTCACCAGAGACCAAACATTTTCAATTGGATTAAGGTCTGGTGAATAGGGAGGAATTTCCATCAGAGAAATTCCATTTCTCCTGAGCCATCTCCTGAAAGGCAAGTGAGTCTTAGCATTGTCAATGATTAAAAATACCTCTTTCTCTCCAACATGCTCCTTGATATCCTCCCATATCCCTGGAAAGTCATATTGATCATAAACATCAATAATTGACTTTCCAGTCACTCCACCTCCAGCAGAAGTAGGATCAGGAAAAACAGGTAAAAAAAGACCATGAGTTTGACCATAGAAACAACCAGTCATCATCTGACTAATCTTTCTCTCTCCTTTCCTAGCAGTAGGTTCAACACAATCCTTATTCCACTTTTCTTTTGGCTATCTAAATACCCATTTTCTTCTCTTTCCTCCTCTCTTCTCCACAGCTACCTCATCCCCCCACATTGTCTTCCTTCTCCACATCTGCCTTGTCCAATTCCTATCAGCTAATGCCCATTCCAATCTCTTTTGAGCTAGATCCTTATTCAAATGAACCCTCTCTTGTGCTATCCACTTTTTAAGAAGCTTTTGTGCAAGTCTTTGCTTCACAGTCTTAGCAGAAACATTGGGAGCCACTCTCTCAGCAATCTCAGAGTAGCTGGTATGGCAATTTTTGAGAGCTTCCTCTACCATAGCATCATCCTGCAACTTGGTAGTTTTAGGATGTCTTCCTCTACCTTCATTCTCCTTGCCCTCTTGATCTCTCTTTGTAAATGTGTTTTTTAAACAGTACTGAGAGGAATGTCAAGGTAGTGGAAAATTTAGTGATTTGTCATCTGAGGCTCACGTAATCCAAGAATTCGTCCCCTTGTAAACTCAGAAAAATGCTTGGAGAGAATAGGCTGTTTGGCATGACTGCGAAGAATAGCAGGCATAGATTATTGAAAAAAAAATTAAGTAAATTGGTTTGGTTTTGGTTAGAGTAGAGCAATTTCTTTAAGAAGTGTTGAGGGAGCGGGGTGATGAGCAGGGGAGCGTTGCCATTGCCGTTGAGAGCTAGTTAATTTTGTTCCCGGACAATACTTCAGTTCTTATAAGTAGTGATATGCTATATCTTGTCTACTATCTATAGATTACTATACTTGATATTTACTGTTTGTTGTAGGACTAGTATTTTCACTATTCCTATTCCTTATTTGTAGATTCCCATATATCGTATCTCTATCATTTGCATGTTATCACATGTAAGATTGTACTTCTCTGGGATAGGCTGATATGTTCAATACAACTTCTTCTTTGGAATATAACTACCATCTTCTACATTTATGTTTTTCTTCTGAGGTTGTTGTGCCTGATATCTCTATTAGTAAAAATGTTAATTTAAATTGAATATATTTTATCAGATATACAGAATACCAGAATTTTAGCCTTAACTCAGAATATAACTAGTCATGGTAATTCAAATCAGGATGTAGTTAGAAGTGACAAGCAATGTTAATATTAATAAAAGAAAAGAAAATCTTTACTAAATACAACTGAATATGGTAATTAGTGTTAGGACATATTTATTAAAAGGATATTTATATAATAATAATATTATTATATAATACAGAGTATAATCTACATTATTGACTTATAAGTAAGTTATAGAATGAACTTCTAGCTGATAAAATTAAACTTTAAGGGTGTTTTTAAATTGCTATTTCTATTGACTAAGTTATAGGAGTAACTTTAGTAATATACTAATAAAGTATTATATTAAAAAGTCTATAAAATCAACTACTAAACTATTATTAGTGGTATAGATAAATAAATTAAGGAGATATTGTTTACTCTATTAGAAATCAGGGATTAAGGAGGTTTAATTTATAAAGTATTAGTTGTTATGCTCTAGATCTATAATGACTTCCAAGAATAATAGTAGTTACAGAAGGTCAGACCCCTACTCATACTGGTGTCAAGAAACTATGGTGATGGAAAAGATGGTAGAATAGGATCTATAGAATAAAAGTATTATTAGTTAGGTATAATACCTTAGTCGCACAGGTTTCACCTTACTAGAGGTACTTAGATACAAGTCAGAAAGAGTGATTAACCTATTAGGTAGTGTAATCAAAGTAGTCAATCTGGGGGTTACCTTAGAGGATATTTGATAAATGGGATTTGATTTAAAATCATAATTTGAGATCAGATCTTGGTCAATTAACTTAATTTTTAACTAATATTAATTTTGTAGCTGATTAGATTTATATGTATTATCTAAGTTAATTTTGCCAAGACTTGATCTCAAATCATGATTTCAAATCAAATCACATTTGCTAAGCATCCTCTTAATTTATTCAGTAATATACTAGAGTAGAGTTATCCTACCTTGAGACTAGAGTTATGGGTGCAGCAACAGATAAGTATTAACCTCATATTAGGTGCTTTTCAAAAAAATTTAACTTTATACTCTGTCAATTATATTGAAAAGGCAGAAAAAATATGAAGAAGATAAAACTAAGTTAAAGTATGATTTTGTTAATATATAGAAAATATTTAACAGAGAGAGAGAGATAGAGAATATATTGTTTATTTAATCTATTCTAAGAATAGCTAAGGTACATGAGTTATGCTGAAGTATGCTATATGGACCTAAAACCTTTTCTTTCATCCAGGTCTAAGCAGCTAGATAAAAAGCTATAGAACTAGAAAGGCATGTGCCAGCAATCAGGTACCCAATCCTCAGATCCCATGATTAGGAGATAGCAGGATCTTGTTCAGAGTCACTGATACTCAACCATCAATCAGTGTAAAAAACACTTTTGAGCAGCAACCTTACCGTAATTATAAACAGAAAACTGTTGAAATTTTTGATTTGTTTCATATTTATATTTTCTTGTATATTCTCTCATACTTAGTTAGTGTTTTGGCAAACCTAAACACTGCATATATTACTACAGCTAGGACATGTTTTATGCTATTTCGTTAATATTTGATGATAGCAATTAGTGATTATTCATGTATTACATTCTTTAGTTTACAGGACATTTTATTATCTTTACGTTCTTTCTCAAACTTTACATCAATGATTATTTGTTCAAACTTAATGTAATTTTCATCACCCCCTCTCTGATTAATGCTGGCTTCATGCTGATCGCATGGCAGATTCTCAAGGTCAAACTTGAAAATATTTGCCCTTATATTTTTCCTACTTATGTTCCAATGCTACATGGTTAAACTTATATTTCTTATTATATTTCTCAGTTTTATAAGGTTTCTATAAAGAATGCAAACTTGTATATATTGATACTACCACCTACTTTGTTTATAAAGAATTAATGATAAGAATCTCTACTAATCTGCCTTCATACTTTTTTTTCTCCTACCTATTTGAAATATGCCTGTAATATTCCCTTAATGTTACATTCATATAGTCTATATTACTATTAAGATTGTACTATTCACAAATTCAATAAAAACCATGCTTAA